GCTGATTTTTGTATTTTTTTGTAGAGACAGGGTTTTGCCATGTTGGCCAGGCTGGTCTCGAACTCCTGACCTCAGGCGATCCGCCTGCCTCGGCCTCCCAAAGTGCTGGGATTACACGCATGAGCCACCACGCCTGGCCCCACTTTTTGCTTTCTTCCTGAAGCTTAGGATGCAAGATTCCCCACTATTCCCCTGCTAAAAAGATGCCAACTTTCTCAGATCCAATTGTTTCATTTAAACAAAAAAGTTTAACATACATACACCCAGGGCACTCATCAGTGAAATTTTAGGCCTGGCACGATGGCTCACATCTGTAATCCCAGCACTTTGGGAGGCTGAGGTGGGAGGATCACTTGAGGCCAGGAGTTCGAGACCAGCCTGACCAACATGGCGAGACCCCATCTCTACAAAAAAATACAAAAATTAGCAGGGCGTGGTATCGCACGTCTGTAGTTCCAGCTACTTGGGAGGCTGAGGTGGGAGGATCAGCTAAGCCTGGGGGGACGAGGCTGCAGTGAGCCCTCATAGTGTCACTGTACTGCAGCCTGAGACAGAGGTAGACTCTGTCTCAATAAAAAAAAAAAGAAATTTGGCCAGATGTGGTGGCCCACACCTGTAATCCCAGCACTTTGGGAGGCCGAGGCAGGGGGATTGCTTGAGGTCCGTTCAAGACCAGCCTAGCCAATAAGACAAAACTCCATCTCTACTAAAAATACAAAAATTAGCCAGAAATCGCTTGAACCCGGGAGGCGGAGGTTGTGGTGAGCTGACATCGTGCCACTGCACTGCAGCCTGGGTGACAAAGCAAGACTCTGTCTCAAAAAAAAAAAAAAGGAATTTTACATATGTGCACCCCCAAGGCCAGGTCAAGATCTCGAACATTCCTGGTTCTTCCCGAGTTCACAGAAGCCCCACACAGCCTCTTCCCAAGCCTCCAGATGTGAACCCCTGCAGACTTTTTCATGCTACTGGGTGAGTTTCACCTGTTCTGGAAATTGGTGGGAACAAGTGGTTTCTGGGTCCCCAGCACTGGGAGACCCGCCCAGGAGTTCCTCCTTCCTTCTGTCTTGGCCTGGATTTGCCTGTTAAAAAGGTGTCACTGTTGAATGGGTTGAATCCGCTTCTCAAAAAAATGTGCCCTGGGGTGTTCTCGGTGTAATGCAGGCCACCGCAGCGAGGTGTCACCTCCACCTGAAGATGGGTGTTTTGTTCTGCACTGTGGGTGGCAGTGGCTTCCTGCTGTGACCCATTTTTTCAGCAGCTCCTCCTCCCCTAGGGACCCCTAAGTACTTCTCTGTCTCTCCTCTCTGGGTCTCCCTCTGTCCCTTTCCCCTCTTCTCTCTGTCTATCTCTGTTCATCTCTGTGTCTCTCCATCTCTCCATCTCTCCTCTGTCACTTTCCCCTCCTCTCTCTGTGTGTCTGTTTCTCTCTCTCTCGTCTCCTTGTCTGTTTTTGCCTCTCTCTTTGGGTTTCTCTGTTCCTTCCCACTTTGTCCCTTTTTTCTCTCCCTCTCTCTCTCTCTCAACAGGGTCTCACTCTGTTGTCCAGGCTGGAGGTCAGTGTTGTGATCTCAGCTTACCTCAGCCTTGGCCTTCCGGGCTCAGGCGATCCTCCCGCCTCAGCCTCCCAGTTAGCTGGGACTACAGGCATGCACCACCAGGCCCAGCTAATTTTTTTTGTAGAGATGGGGTGTGGCCATGTTGCCCAGGCTGGTCTCAAACTCCTGGGCTCAAGCCGTCCTCCCGTCTCAGCCTCCCAAGGTGCTGGGATTACAGGCGTGAGCCTCCGTGCCCAGGCCTCTCTGTCTCTCTCTGTCTCTCTCTGTCTCCCTGTCTCGCTCGCTCTCTCTCTGCATCTCACTCTCTCTTCCCCTTTCTCTTTCTATCTTTGTTTCTCTCTGTGTGTCTCTTACTCTCTGTCTCCTTGTCTTTTTCTCTCTGAAT